CCCGGCCACCTTCGCACGCGCCGCCGCGCTTTTCACACCCGGCGTGACACGGCCTGACACCCCCCGCGGGACGGGCCGCGTGTGCGCACACGTGTGTGTGCAGCCTGCCCCGGCACGTGTGTGTGCCCTTCCCCTGTACATATGTGTACATGTATGTACAGGGGAAGGGCCCACACACGTGTGCACACGTGTGTGGGCCTTTCCCCTGTGCATGCACACACATGTGTGTGCCTTCCCTGGCATGTGTGCACACAAGTGCGGGCCCATCCCCTGGGTGCGTGTACACACGTGTGTGCCCTTCCCCTGTACATATGTGTACATGTATGTACAGGGGAAGGGCCCACACACGTGTGCACACGTGTGTGGGCCCTTCCCCTGTACATATGTGTACATGTATGTATGCCCTGCCCTGGCACGTGTGCACACGTGTGTGTGCCTTTCCCCTGTGCATGCACACACATGTGTGTGCCTTCCCTGGCATGTGTGCACACAAGTGCGTGCCCATCCCCTGTGTGCGTGTACACACGTGTGTGCCCTTCCCTGCCATGTGTGCACACGCTTGTGCCTTTTCCCCTGTGTATGCACACACATGTGCACATCCTTCCCTGGCACGTGTGCTCACGTGTGCACGCCCTTCCCCTACGTGTGTGTACACACTTGTGCACATCCCTCCCTGCGTGTGCATGCACATGTGAGCACATCATTCCCCTATTTATGTGCACACACATTTGCACACCCTTCCCTGGCACACGTGCACACAGGTGCACACCTTTCCCTTGTGCGTGCACACACGTGCACCCCCTTTTCCTCGTGCATGCACAGACACATGTGTGCACACATGTGCATGCATTTCCTCCATGTGCTTGCACGCACGTGTGCACACCCTTCCCTGGAATGCATGCACAGCCTTTCCCTTGTGCTTGCACACATGTGTGCACATCTCTCCCTGGCATGTGTGCGCACACGTATGCATTTCCTCTGTGTGCTTGCACACGTGTGCCCACACTTTCCCTTGTGCTCGCACACACGTGTGCACTCCCTTGCCTACGTCTGCCTGCACGTGTGAGCACACCCTTCCCCTTTCACACCTGCATGTATGAGCAAACCCTTCCCCTTACACACCTGCACACGCGTGTGCCTGCACATGTGAGCACACCCTTCCCCTTACACACCAGCACGTGTGAGCAAACCCTTCCCCTTACACGCCTGCACGTGTGAGCACACCCTTTCCCTTACACACCTGCACGTGTGAGCACACCCTTCCCCTTACACGCCTGCACACGTGTGTGCCTGCACGTGTGAGCACACCCTTCTCCTTACACACCTGCACGTGTGAGCACACCCTTCCCCTTACACGCCTGCACATGCGTGTGCTTGCACGTGTGAGCACACCCTTCCCCTTACACACCAGAACACGCGTGTGCTTGCACGTGTGAGCACACCCTTCTCCTTACACGCCTGCACATGCGTGTGCTTGCACATGTGAGCACACCCTTCCCGTATGCATTTCCTCTGTGTGCTTGCACACGTGTGCCCACACTTTCCCTTGTGCTCGCACACACGTGTGCACTCCCTTGCCTACGTCTGCCTGCACGTGTGAGCACACCCTTCCCCTTTCACACCTGCATGTATGAGCAAACCCTTCCCCTTACACACCTGCACACGCGTGTGCCTGCACATGTGAGCACACCCTTCCCCTTACACACCAGCACGTGTGAGCAAACCCTTCCCCTTACACGCCTGCACGTGTGAGCACACCCTTTCCCTTACACACCTGCACGTGTGAGCACACCCTTCCCCTTACACGCCTGCACACGTGTGTGCCTGCACGTGTGAGCACACCCTTCTCCTTACACACCTGCACGTGTGAGCACACCCTTCCCCTTACACGCCTGCACATGCGTGTGCTTGCACGTGTGAGCACACCCTTCCCCTTACACACCAGAACACGCGTGTGCTTGCACGTGTGAGCACACCCTTCTCCTTACACGCCTGCACATGCGTGTGCTTGCACATGTGAGCACACCCTTCCTCTTACACACCTGTGTGTGTGAGCACACCCTTCTCCTTACACGCCTGCACGTGCGTGTGCCTGCCCGTTCCCCCCCTCCCCCCTGCAGGTCCCACGGCCCCGACGCCAAGATCCTGGAGCAGGGAGAAGGTCAAGGTCAAGTCGAAGGTCAAGGGCAGCCCCGGGGGCAGCTGACGCTGAGCCACATGCTGCAGATCGCCACCCAGGTGGCCTCGGGCATGGTCTACCTGGCCTCCCTCCACTTCGTCCACCGCGACCTGGCCACACGCAACTGCCTGGTGGGGCAGGACCTGGTGGTGAAGATCGGGGACTTCGGCATGTCCCGGGACATCTACAGCACCGACTACTACCGGGTGGGTGAGCGGGACCCAGCCCCTCCATCCCCACCACTGGGGGGTTTGGTGGGACCACCCTCAACTCTTTGCTGCCCCCCCCAACCCTTCTCCATCCATATTTAATCAAGGAATCAGGGAAGGGTTTGGGTGGGAAGGGACTTTTCAAGCTCCTCTTGTCCATGAGCTGGGACCTGAGCTTCGACCAGCCCAGGTTCCTCAAAGCCCCATCAGACTTGACCTTCAGTCATTCCTAGGGATGGGGCATCAAGAAGAGCGTGGAGAACCTCAAGGGAGGTCATCCTGCCCAGGATGCCCAGGAGCCAGGAGAGGTTGGGGGTGACCTGTTGGGAAGCAGCTCTGAGGAGAAAGACCTAAGAGTCCTCGGGGACAACAGGATGCCCAGGAGCCAGCAATGGGCCCTGGTGGCCAAGAAGGCCGATGGCATCCTGGGGGGCATCAAGAAGAGCGTGGAGAACCTCAAGGGAGGTCATCCTGCCCCTCTGCTCTGCCCTGGGGAGGCCCCAGCTGGAGCACTGGGACCAGTTGTGGGCTCCCCAGTTCCAGAAGGACAGGGAAGTGCTGGAGAGGGTCCAGCAAAGGGCTACGAGGATGCTGAGGGGCCTGGAGCATCTCTCTTGGGAGGAAAGGCTGAGGGACTTGGGGCTTTGGAGTCTGGAGAAGAGAAGGCTGAGGGGGGATCTGATCAACGCCTGTAAATCCTTCAAGGGTGGGTGTCAGGAGGATGGGGCCAGGCTTTTTCCAGTGGTGCCCAGGGACAGGACAAGAGGGAATGGGCACAAACTTGACTAGAAGAAGTTCCACCTCAACATGAGGAGGAAGTTCTTGACTTTGAAGGTGGCAGAGCCCTGGCAGAGGCTGCCCAGGGAGGTGGTGGAGTCTCCATCTCCGGAGACATTCAAACCCCACCTGGATAAGTTCCTGTAGGACCTGCTCTGGGTGGATCTTCTCTGGCAGGGGGTTGGACTTGATCATCTCCAGAGGTCCCTTCCAACCCCATAGCATTCTGTGATTTTGTGAATGCACCTTAATCTTTCTTCAGCTTTTTTCACAGCAATTGTGTTTTGTGTTAAGCTTTACTGTTTTTTCCCCTTCCCTTTCTAAAGTCTCATATGCTACAGTATATACATCCAGGGCTAATAAAACACTTATTGATACCCAGATGATACACATGCAGGTAAGTATAACAGCAGCCCTACCCCATATCACTCTGTGATCTCCCACCTCTCTGGGTCTCCATCTCCCCCCACTTCAGCCCAACAAAATTCTCCTTTATATCTATTTAAAGACCAGGGTTGGGGTGGGTTAATGAAGGAAGGGGTGGTTTCCTGCCCCACTGATGGTCCCCCCTTGGGCAGGTGGGGGGTAGGACCATGCTGCCCATCCGTTGGATGCCCCCCGAGAGCATCCTCTACCGCAAGTTCACCACCGAGAGCGACATCTGGAGCTTCGGCGTGGTCCTCTGGGAGATCTTCACCTACGGGAAGCAGCCCTGGTACCAGCTCTCCAACACCGAGGTGAGGAGCACGGGTGGGGTGGGTGGGTGAGGGGGGTCAGGATGGCTTCAGACCCCCCATAAGTGTCTGGGGGGGGTGGTTTACTCCATGTCTGTGTGTCCCCCACCCTCCCCAACCCCCCCAGGCCATCGAGTGCATCACGCAGGGCCGGGAGCTGGAGCGTCCCCGCACGTGTCCCTCCGAGGTCTACGCCATCATGCGGAGCTGTTGGCACCGGGAGCCCCAGCAGCGCCGACCCATCAAGGAGATCCACAGCCGCCTCCAAGCCCTCGTCAAGACCCCCCCA